AAAACTTTTCGTTTGTGTTGCTGACATTTTTGCTCTACTTTCTCTGTAATTTCGCCCCATTTTTCTAGCACGATTTCGGTATTCTTTCGATACCACAAAATCCCCAGCAAATATGTTCTTTCACGGTCGTATTCCAGTGACGAAAGCATAACCAGCATAAACCAATTCTATTTGGATGGAATGTGAAACACAGCCTTTAGGTGAGAACTATAGTCATTATCATTGCTACTATTCTCGTACAATGAAATTGATGTTTTGATTTGTGATACACGCTCGTGGGTTGCAGTTAATGGAAGTATGATTACGAACATAGAGAAAATTTAGTTGGTTTATTGAAGTGCCAATGAAATCATGGAATTAGACAATATAAACTATTTGACACTCAATACAACATACTAATAAGTTGATTTTTGGCAGTAATTAGAATTCTATCACAATATTTTCTGCTTAATCACTTTAGTCTACATTTAAGTCATGTCAACGATAATCAAAACTAATAAGATGTGAAAGGACCTTACATACATTGACGAGTGGGCAGTAAAATACGGTTAAAAACTAGATCAGTCGAAATACAACGTCATGTACACGGCGCAAACGATTTACACCATCTACAGATGTCCGCTCCCTAATGTCTTCTCATAGCACGATCTCGGTGCAATAACCACTGAAAGCCTCCACACCAGCTAGAACTATATAGGGGACGCAGCCAAGGCAAATGCAACTCTTCAACTTATGCGAAGATAACTTGGCGCTATCACCCCACCATTATTCTTAACGTTGTTTGAGACATATGCACGCCCACACCTGGAGGTTCACAATGTCGTTGAACCCCCAATCATTAAAGGAGACATAAGTCGCCTGGATCGAGTGCAGAACCGAGCAACAAAATGGGCGATAGAATTGACGAACAAAACTTACGAAGATAGACTCCAGCATTTGGGACCATTCTCCCTGAGTTACAGGAGAATCAGGGTTGATCTGACTATAGCGTACAGCATATTAAGCACGCCAAACCGTCCCAACGTGAGCACCTTACCGATGCGTCATCACCACTCTCCTCGAGGCAATCCTCGAAAAATTGCAAATCAAAGAGCGAATACTCAGGTTCGTGCACTTTTTCGCAGTAACAGTCGTCGCAACTTGGAATACACTGGCAGCCAGGGTGACCACAGACCCCTCAGTAGACAGCTTCAAGAAGAGACTTGTTAATCACGTACTCACAGACGAATCGTCGTCTCCTTCGTTGACAGGCTGTGCCTGAGAATTGCTAGTTATTATTGTTACCGTCCCCCCAGATCACTAACTTAATCTATCTCCCCTATTATCTCTGGCTTCTCTCCCTTGCTCACACTTCGGTCCTCTCTCACAATCTTCACTACCAATTAAAAAACTAATTATCCACTTACTTACTTAGTTATGAAATCCTCTTATTAGCATTAGAATTTTCTCCTCATTATTCTGCACATTGCAACTAACTGATCTCCGGTCTGGTAATGTGATATTCCTAGGTTACTGGTTTTCAATCATAGGTGTCTTCGAAGCATTGTTCGTATATCCTGGGACAACCGAGTGAGCAACGCTGGTCTTAGGAAACGGATGCTAGGTAAGAATGTCAGATCAATGGATGAAATATTGAAACTTCATCAGTTGAGGTGGTTGGGACATGTGTTGCGTATGCCTAACCACCGAACGCCTCGTCGAGCTATATTTTGCGATATAGGAATAGGTCGGACGAAAGCTAAGGGCGGCCAAACTAAAACATGGCAGAAATCGATGAAGTCATTAACAAGTGGACTGAGTCATGTCGGTAGGTATCGACTACCTGGTTGGGGTCCGCGAGATAATAACAATCGATGGTTAGAGACCCTGAATGACATGGCTCAAAATCGTTTGCTATGGCGCAGGTGCATTCACTTTTTGCGTTCTCTCAAATCCTAAACTTTTTAACTCTTCATCACTTTATCCTTATCTTTTTGAGTCTATTTCACTAGATTCTACTTCTTGAATAATATCTTCTAATCCTAACCTCTGCGACTACTGCTAATACATTTACTACCTCTACTACTATTGAATTTGAATTGACAATTACATCTCTGTGCTAATGATGTACTGATGTACGTACGTACGTAGTTTTACGCTGCTATTGATTGATTGACAATTGTCGTTCACGGTTTATTGAAATTTATAACTGAGTTGAACCATGTGAAACATTTGGACAGCATTTGATAACAGTATCACATCAGAAGAAAACAATGTATGTGTTAGATCCTACTGTGCGGATAAGTGACTAACTAAATGTGACCGAGAACTTACAGTTTCGCCGACAACTCTATGGGACTGGAAAATATCCAGAAGTAAACAAAGATTTAACTTAGTTATAACTACAAATAGATACCAATATACATTTTGAAAAAGCTGCTCATAAATTTAATCGGAATTAATTTGTACAGTCATCATGTCTAGTAAGTTGAGAACTGAGTGATTGGACCCATCAAGTTTGAATTTTACGGACCGAACGACATAGCAGCTAACCATCAGTTTGACTTATTATTTTCTCCCCAGTCAGTCAGATGCAACGTAGAACTTCGTACGTAAGTACATCAGTTCATGTCGCCATACCACATTAGCACGGAGATGTAATTGTAAATTCGAATTCAATAGTAGAAGAGGTAGTAAAGGTATTAGGAGTAATCGGAGAGGTTAGGATTAGGAGATATTATTCAAGAAGTATGATTTAATGAGAAAAGTTTAGAAAGTCAAAACTAGAGTTGTTGAAGAACCCAGAAGATTAGGATTTGAGAGAACACAAAGCATAAATGCACTGGCGCCATTGCGAACGATTTTGAGCCATGTCATTCAAGGTCTCTAACCATCGATTATTATCATCTCGCGGACCCCAACCAGGTAGTCAATAATTACCAACATGGCTAAGTCCACTCGTCAATGACTTCATGGATTTCTGCCATGTTTTGGCCGCCCCTAGCTTTCTTCCAACCTATTCCTACACTACAAAACAAAGCTCGACGAGGCAGTCGGTGGTTGGGCATACGCTAAACATGTCCCAACCACCTCAACTGATGAAGTGTCACTACTGCGTCTCCCCACAAAAAGGTTAATACTTGTCCAAATTAGTTTAAATTTGATTGCCAACATAGTTTGTATAATAAAAGCTATCATTTGTATCTCGGAGATTTCTAAATCCCAGTTATGATGAATGAACTAATTGCGACTTTTGAATTTATGTAACTTATCCCTGCAGTATATGTAACCGAACTTTCTTTGTTTAGTCTTCACTTCCAAACACTCGATAATGTCAGGATATATATATATATATATATATATATATATGTATAATCAACATTTTCATACATGTGAAAACTAGTGATAACAAACTAAATTGAATGTGTAAAATCTTCGGTACATTTCGCAACTTCGTTTCTGGCAGAACATCCTTACTTTCTCTTCGACAGCTACAAAGAAATTCAACATCGGGTTATAAACAGATCGGTTTACTAGGTTTTGATAGTTTCATTAATACTGATTAGGAACAATAAGCCGAGTTCTTGTCTCTGGAGTACTTTGTATTCGATAATTGCATAGAAATAATTCGGAATTTAACGGAAGGATAAAGTCGATTGAATTAAAAGAGCCCAAAAGTTACATAATGTACTTATCATTTTGGTCAAGTTTATTGCTACACTGTAATTTTCCTTCAGTAAAATTTTGAAAGCCTGGGATGCATGATCAATACAAGTATTTTACATTTTTAACGTCTCATCAATACGTATCTCAATTTTAAAGAATTCGGTAGTAAAATACACAATCGCTAACTATCAGTTTAGAATTCTGCATTGTTTATCTTTGTACGTTGACGAAGTTTAAAACTAGATAGCGTCATTGTTAAGTTGTAATTCTGTTTCAAAACTATAAACCTTGGAGTGTTAACTGGTTAACACCTGGTATGAATATGTCAGTAAACTAAGTAACTGAGAAATAAATCAGCATTTCAGAAGATTATTCAAGTAAAGCTATTAGAATTCTTATTCTCTAACACAAGATAATTGAAAATTGTGATGACATCTTTAAAGCTATTAAAAGATAATAGTCCAACAATAAAGCTATGTTTAATATCAAGTCTGAGGTAATTAGAAATATCGTTTGAGATCATAGATTGATTGACTGTTTGCTTTAACCATCACAAAATCCACATAATTCACTAATAGATAGGCCATCGTTGTATATTTTTACAACAGTGTCGACAATTAGATATATTGTAGGCCTACCATCCATGGGAACGTAATTTCTTCTTTAGTTAATACGAATCATTACCGCATTACGCAATGACGGCAGACCAGTCGTAGACCAAAAAGACCTCAGCTCCTACTAAATGTGTTTGAATCCTGTAAATCTGACCTGCGTTTCGGGAGCTGGTTAGTCTTAATAGGTCTCACAGGAAGTATTTGGGGTGCGACGACATTTTGAACCTTCGGGTGTGGGCGTGCATATGTCTCAAACAACTTTAGGAATAATTGTGGGGTGATAGCGCCAAGTTATCTTCGCATAAGTTGAAGAGTTGTATTTGCCTTGGCCTTGGTTCGTTACTAGAATCTTTTATCTTCATTGTTTGTACAAATAACGTACCTCTACAAACATCGTCTGACTTATAACTTTTCTGAGATGATGTTAAACGTGGCAAAATGTTTTGGTTAAAAGACGATCTGTACCGATTAGAATAAATGCGTCTGAGATGTGACCTTTTAAGGACTCATAGCACCCTTAACACTACCTGATTTCTCTTTAAATACTTACTAACGCTCAGTTTAATCATAAACATAGGAGAAAATTCCCAGAATCTCATACCTTGTTGGATATTGGATAGTGCTGAAAACTGAAGGTCGTTGCAAGAGAGGCAAGCTTAAAGGTAGTTTGCATCCCATCAGGATATTCCAAGCATCACTTTTTTCCTGCCCGTTTAGTCTGACTGTTTAAATTCTGTGTTTATGAGAGAATTAAAGAAAGACGAGTTCGCTAGGGTTGTGGCCAAACTTCACAATTAGTAAGCTTATGATATATGCCCAATACCTTAAGTATCAAAGATGCTGATGAATTACTGAACAGACCGGACGACAAGTACAATTTCTACTTCCATCGTGACCGTGTTTTTTATTGTCGGTAAGTTTCGAGTAATCCTGAGGATGATATACGTTGATTACTTTCAGTTCAACTCTCGCAAAACACGCAGCATCAATTAAAAAAAAACATTTACTGAGCTTCGGAACATGTATTGGTCGCTTCTCGAAAACAGGCAACTTTAAGCTACACATAACTGCACTTGATTTCTTATCTCCGTATGCCAAGTTCCGGGTATGGTTAAAAGCACCATCTGAACAGCAGTTTCTGTATGGACAAAATATTCTGAGGTCAGGTGTTGCTAAGATGTCTGACAACACTCCTCAGTATGCTGGTGTTGTTGTAATGAACATGAGTGATATGCCTCTAGTAATGTGTTTAATTAATTTTCATATCTAACCTGTTATTTTCAGGGTTTTGGGGTCGCTGCCAAGTCATCTCTGCAAGTAAAGAACACTGATCCGATGACTGTAGTCCTCTTTCACCAAGCTGATGCTGGTGAGTATATTCGATCAGAGGAAACTATTGTATAAAGACTTTGAACCCTAACACTAAACATTGCTTAGTCCTGTATGTATAAAAGCCTTTTTCAAACTCTAAGTCTTTAGTAAAATGACTTAATAATAGGGGACATGTTACTTAGAAGTCTGGTTGTTTTACTTAGGAGAAAATGCATATATGCACAACCGTTTATCTCCAGGTTTATAAACCGTTAGTCTCAGATGCCCGTCTTCCATACTCACCGGGTTTTTTGTACATGTTGATTGATTTTTCTTTTCCTATTCAGGCCAGTATTGTGTAGCATTGCGAAATAATCTATTTAAAAACATACTCTTCCTCGCACTTCGAAAAATTAGATGTTGGTGAGTTTCGTCGTAATCTTGAGACTACAGTATGCTAAAAATTGAAACCGATAGTGCAGTTGTAAGTAGCAATAAGCTTGCATTTGTGTAATTCACAAAAATCTGTGTCAAAACCTACTTTTGTAGTTGAAGTTAAATTTGAGTATAGGATTAAGAGCGATATGGAGTTCAACTTTAGTCTGATATTTAGTAGATGTTCCGCCATATAAATATCAGACCCGGAAGATTTATAAATTAAAGTTGTTCAATCCTGTGTATATTTACTGCATACTTCGCGCGTAGTTATATCACCAAGTAAATACTACTGAGATTAGACACTACTAATCAAGAAAATTTATGTTGTGAACTTGTACTTCAACTTATTTGTGTCACCCTATCTACTTGAGATCACCGACCACTCAAGTATGTGGCTTAGTAGTTCACTGTCGAAAAACAGCAAGGGTAATTGGACCAAGAAAAGACAACTCATGTTGTTCATAGTTAGTCTAGATAGGTAAAGACTATGGCTTATGCTTTGAATAGATCGATTTTATCTTTCAGACTGGTTTTCACAACCAGTATACATTGAGATGTTTTTTATTTGAGGGAAGACGCATTTTATATACTTGGAATGGATGGTCTAAAGTATGCGGCATGTCATTAGCAACGTAGTTGTAGCCAATATGAACTTCAAGTAATCCCTGTCCCACTTGTTACTTTGTATGACTCAACAAAAGACTGTGCTTGTATCCAGCCATACTTCCTG